ACGCTTGGACCCAGGAGGAGCGACCAGGAGGAGCGACGTCACCGTTGGCGCTGTAACCAAAGGATCCGACACTGGGCCAGGTGTGTAACCGTCACACCTCTATGGTCACGTGGTCTACTTAATTCAATAATGGGATCGCTTGTATTTCTTCACTGGCGATATATGTTCAATCTCAACTGGCAGCGACACTTTAAACCTATATAACACTATCATAACCTATCTACGTTATATATTTCTCGGTATGACGATAAATAAATTCCGGCAGCAAGGCCTCTGATCAGGATCTTTTGAGGACCGTGGAAACACTTCATAATTGTTGTTTCCAAGTCGCTCCTGACCAGGGGTGGTAGCACCTGTTAGGGTCTCAGCTATGGGCAAATAGTGACCCCCCGAACAGACACAAATCTATGAAAGTATAAAAACACATTTACACAATAAAATTAACGACAATACATATTTACAGTGGAATGGCCAACACTACATTTTACATTAAAATGACCCAAACTACATTTTATCTGTAGTTGAATGAATTTCGTCCAAAATATATTTAGTTGAAGCCATAAGATTGTGTTGAAAATATTTAGATTTAGGCATTAAATGACCTATAGAAGTGTTTATATGCCGCTAAACAAACCAAACCAACCCACTAACGAAACCAACGTATAAATTGTTATGAATAATCAAGAGTGGTCTCCCTTTGTTTCGTTACTCTCCTCTTTAAGAGAGCTATTTCTGTTTACTGGTACTATAAAAGGAAACTGTACGCGAACCATGTATTTTCAGTTGAATAAAGTTTTCTTAAAGCCTACACCTGCGTACTTTTGTCATTACATAAATATTTTCGGAATATGTAGCTCTTTGAACTGTCTGCAAGAACTGTTCTATAAAATGCCTGCCATTTGGATGTCGTCATCATTTAAATATTATTAATGGGAAAATTAAACCGTCTGCTTTGAATAAATGTCATTTTAATATGAATAAGATTTGAATCGGAAAATATCGACAGGAAGGAGAAACAATACATCCTGCTAAATATCCGAACACTCAGAAATATATTCAGAGTTTAGGATAAAATATTTAGCATATATTCATCCATATACATTTAAAACATTCTATTTTACGATTCAGCCGATTTTTCTTTCTATAAGATTTGCTTCAGATTGCGATCTTGTCCGGAAGAACATGAAACTTTATGTCTCCTCTCAGCAGTCTAAATTGCCGATGGCGATTTCACAGCAGTTTTCTTTTTGTTAGTTGTCCTTTAATATATTCAGTACCACCATTTTAAGTTCACCAAAGGGTGAAATATTTTAAGATATAATACATTACTTTTTCTGACATCGCCAAATCACAGCTGATCTATACGTCTGATGTTACGTTACTTGCTTTGCGTTGGTGTTACTTTAGTGTCAGTGTTATTTTTGTTACATTTCCGTTGGTGTTACTTGAATTACATTGGCGTTAGTGATTCTTGAATTACTTTGTTGTGTTATTTGTATTACTGTTATGTCAGTGTTGGCTTTAGTGTCATTTGTGTTACATAAATGTTGGTGTTCATAGGGTTACATTAGCCTTAATGTTATTTATGTTACTATGTGTTGATATCACTTGCATTGGATTAGTGCTAGTGGTAATTCAGTTTTCATGTTACGTGTGTTAGTTTAATGTTGGTTCTACAGGAATTAATTTAGTATTTTTGCCTTCTTTTGTGTTAGTATAAATTACGTTAGTTTATGAGTTGCTGTGTTCTGTGTTCTTCTGAATGTTCGTGTTTTTGTTACTCAATTTGTTGTGAATGTTACTTTGTAGCTTCAGTTTGCGTTACTTGTCTTTTTTTTCTTCTGTGATTACTTTTTTCTTTGTTGACACTGGAGTATATATGACGCATGTATTATTTGAGATGCTGTTTTGTTTAATCTCACATTAATGTTAAGTTACTTATTTTAGCAAATTTTCATCAATACATGTTCTAACAGCCATTGAAGTTAGAGTGTTACTACTGTAACCTAGGGAAGATTACTAAATAGAAAAATGAAACGAAGGTTGGTAATGAACAATAATACTTAGGACAAGAACAACACATATAAGATTCGCCAGCGGCGCGTAGAAGTAGTCAACTGCTAGAAGTGAGTCAAGTGAATTCCACAAAGAACATCCAACTTTAGGATATCTACCAACCGCCCCACACGGTCAGATGTGACACAAGACCGAATTTAATGTGGGGTATCCGAGCCCATAGGCTCGGCCAAAATTTACCCATAGACCCCGTATAAAGCGAGGTGGGGTAGCTGTTTTCCGAGACGAAACTCTGCCCTTCGGCATAGGATCCTCTCTGCTCGGAGTCAGAGAGTTTGACGAGCACAGCTGGAGACGAATCTCCAACTGCAGAATCTCTACCAACAGCTCCACGCGGTCATATATGGCACAAGGCCGAATTTAATGTGGAGTATCCGAACCCGTCTGCTCGGCCAAAAATTCCCCGTAGAACGCGTCTGGGATCCTCTCTGCCCAGAGGCTGAGAGTTTGACCAGCACAGCTAGAGACGAATTTCCAACTCTAGACCACGTTCAGTAATCACTACTGTATTTATAGGAATGGGGACTTAAGCATTATCGTCCATAGGCATGCAACAACTGTTACTGAATTAGATTGTTTTATGAATAGGAAGTAAATATTATGATGATAAGGAGGATAGATAAAGATTGACCCTTAACTTGAAGAGCATAAGACTTCAGTATTCACTGAAACATCCACTCGAGGGTCATTTTCACATAGTACCTGTTCTTACGAAGAAGTAATTTGAGTGAAGCTTCCTCCTTACAAATGGAATATGGAGGGATAACTCGATTCCGTGTACGTATTATAGCGAGTCCTAACTATAAATATTTTAACAATTCTCTATAGAAATAAAGATACGGTAATGAGAGGCTTGCAATTATTTGCATCCGTGGGAAAGTGGGTGCAGAGTGGAAAACTAGTCATATCCCGTTACATAATACGGAAGCTGACTACTACTGTGAGCAATAGTAATATTGAATAAGCTTTGTCTTAGCATTGGATATAAGACCAAAACAGAGAAAAGACAACAGGCGCTCGCAAGAATTTTCAAGTATAAAGAAACATACAGAGACTAGGTACCTTAGTCAGGTTAGCCATCATGTGGCGCAATATTACGCCAAGAAGTCGACTGTTACCATTTTCCTCCTGCTTTATCCTAGTATCGATTGTACCAGGGATGTTCTTTGTATAATAAGGCGAATGAGATAAGGAAATTGTCCTTTGCTGATACCGTCTACCGTCTATGGTAGTCTGAAGAACTGAAGTCAGAGACAATACAGAATAAAACATCACACAAGACGGAATCATCGAATTTTTGCCTATAAAATGGACACTAGGCAGCACCATTTATCATCTTTTTTAATTCCTGTCCTTTTATCGTTCTCTCTCCATGGTAACGTTTTACTTTTCTCATATTCTCTCACACGCAGTAATCACTTGCGTCTTAGTAGCTTTATTGCCTTGCTTGGAGTGAAATGATTAAAAACTCGTATAAAAATAATAATGTCAGTGGAATAGGCTGACTGTAGTATAACATTCAATGGTAGCTAAATATTCAAACACAGCATCGCAATTACAATTCCGTGCTATTTTGGAATATCTGACATTAAACAATAGGATTACGGGCATGTAAATTTCTCTATCATAAGAGGAGGAGATATTACACACACACACACATATATATATATATATATATATATATATCGCCTGGTTCACATGTCGCCGCTGTCTTTTAAACAGGAGTAGAGTATTATATCTTTAATTTCCTGTTTAAGATTGGGTTTTCGGTATCTTGTAAATTCTACTTCAACTATATTTCTAACGTCTCTGCCTAAATTCTGAAATTTTATTTGCTGTTTATTTCGTTCCGCAGTAGGGGTAGACAGGTTCGCCTATCGCCCGGTTCACACTCCTCCTTGGTCTTTGAACAGACGTAAAGGTTTATCCCTTGTTTCTTGATTAGGATTTAGTTTCCAGTTCGTTCTAGGTTGTACTTCAACTCTATACTTCTAACGTCTGCGAATGTGCTCTGAAATTTTTTTTTCTCTAATTTTTAATTTACTTTTTCATCTCTCCCAATAGGAGTTCATAGGTTCGCTAATCTTCCTGTCGACACGTCTTCTAGCTCTTTTGAATAGGAGTAGATTTTTATACCTCGTTTCCTGTTTAGGATTGGGTTTCCGATTCCTTTTAAAGCCTACTTCAACACTATACTAATAACGTCTCCGACTGAGATCTGAATTTTTATTCCCTAATTGTTATCTTATTTTCCATTTCTCCCAATAGGAATAGAGAGGTTGGCCAATCGTCCTATAGACACTCCTTAATGGTTCTTTGAAGAAAAGTAAGCGTTTAGCCCTTGTATCCTGTTTAGAATTGGGTTTCCGGTTCTTTGTAATATCTACTTTATATTTGTAACGTATCTGCCTGAATTCTGAAATATTATTTACTATTTATTTTTCATATTTTTTATATTTATATTTATATTTATTTATATATATTTCTTTATTTATATTTATTTTTATATCTATATTTATATTTATAATTTTTCTTTATATTCTTTTTTTATATTTCTAACGTCTCTGTCTAAATTCTGAAATGTTATTTACTATTTATTTTTTCCTCAACTCGACGAGACAATTTCGACTTTCTTCAAGATCACACTCCACCTCAAGATTTTCAAATGGGGTCGAGTTAATTTCTGTTTAGGATTGGTTTTCCAGTAGATCTTTGAGACTTAGTCGCATCATCGCCTTCCTTGTGGTGAATTGATTTTTTTTTTAAAAATCGTGTATTCATTTCTATTTGGAAACTCAGTGTTTTAGGATTAGTCGTGGACAAGGAATGGCCAGGAAAACTCTTGTGCCAATTTTAAATTCGATTTTGGAAAGACGCCTTTCTTAGGGTCCGGCTTCTAAGATGGCAATGTTCCAGCAGAGCATTCAAAAGAAACTGGTCACATCCGATCGGGCAAAGAGAAAATGAAGGCGACTGTATGAACGTTTTTCAATTTTTCTCACACAAAGTCTACTTTGTATATATATATATCTGAAAAGTCTATATTATATTGCTATAGCAAATGCACAAATACAGTTGTAGGCATCGATTTAAATACTAGATATTTATATATAAACACGCATACAGCATTACACACACACACACACACACACACACACATATATATATATATATATATATATATATATATATATATATATATATATATGTATATGAAGAAATGTAGTTTTAAGGTGTTCTATATTTATGGGATAAAGTGCTCAATATCAGAGATAGAGCGTATGTAAATATAAATATAAAATTGAACATTGAAGTCAACACTCAGAGGCGACAGGCTGTTTCATGCTGTACGCAATCGTCAGGCCTGAAATGATTAACATCTAAAAAAACACTAAACTAATTGAGTGTCTTTTTCCAGGTTTTCAGATAAAAGGCATAACCGTCTTGACACAATTCGTCTTAAGAATCACTGGAAAAACCTTTAAAGTTATTCAGCTAGAAAGAGAACAGGTTAAAATCGTTATGTGTCAGCCCCAAGTGAGCAATGGTGAGCGGAAAATATCATTCAGGTCTTTAGTAACTGTGCCAGTATTTATACCGTAGTTTCCATCTCCAAAGTCCACGCAAGGACTATCAAGACAATGGTGAATAAGTGTAACAAAGAGGAAACAGTAGACAGGAAATCTGTATCAGGAGGTCACACCAGGAAGAGTAATTTCCAGTAATATACCTTTAATCATTTCTAAGACACAACGATTCAAATCTTAATCTAACAATTAAATAATTTTGCTCTTACATGATTTAAACATCTTTGCTATTACACCCTATATGCTTAAATGTTAGTTAAATAATTAAATTCTAAATAATAAAATTCAGTCACTTTCTCACAGACCTCATGTGGCTTCCCCCCTCTTTTCTGTAAATATATTCATGACAACTTCTCCGACGATCTACTTTCACTGGTACCCCCAACTGCATGCTACTAGATTCGCATCTCGGTCCCACCCGTTCACTGTCGAAACGCTTAAATGGAACCGCCTCTTCTACACCAACAGACACTTTTCACGCCCTTCTCGTCAGCAGAATTCACTTCCTCTAACTTGCATCCCTGATAGCTATGATCTTCAAATATTAAAATGTAATGACAATCGACATCTTCTGATGCTTTGATCCTGATCCCCGTCTTATATCCTTTCCTCAAACACCCCCTCTTTACGCTTGCTCTCACTCTCTGTAACCCCTTGCGTGCTAGCGGCACTCTGGCCTTGCTTGGGTGAAATGCTTGAAAAATTGTCCTTGGTTGAATTTAAAAGAAATATTTATGAAAAAATAATGTTATAAACAGACAATTATATGCGATAAATGACTGAACGCCAGGAAACAAACCAATCAGATATTGAGGCGCCCTGAATTAAAGCTAATTATTTGACTTATGTAAAGATGGAACGGATATATCAAAGAACTCTTCAACGGCGAAAGAGAAAAACCTTCAATACCTAAACTTATATTTTAGTCTGAATTCGATTAATTGAAGAAGAACAAAATAGCAGGACATATGGAAGTGTAGTAAAGATTCTAAGTCTTAGATCATTTGGACAAAATTATAGAAACGAAAAATAAAATATACGACAGTGGTGATATACCGGAAGATCTTGCCAGATACATTTTAGTATAAGGCAGATGCGTGATCCATCGAAGAATCAACCGATTATCTGTTAGGTGCCATGCGTGATACAGGCTTAGGTGATCATATATCTTTCGTTACATGACTGACGAGGCAGATTTTTTTTTTCTCGCAGTAGCTTGCAATTTCTTTCTGCGGTAAACCAGTTGTCATCCAAAGCTATAGAATCCAGTCTGTCCTGTTATTTATCCATAACTGTGGGGTGGGGAGAAGAGGATTCATGCCTTTCCCAATTGTATTAGCACATAAGTGAATATCACTTGGTCATGTTCCATGCGTGATACACGCTTAGGTGATCATGGATCTTTCGATACATGTCTGACGAGGCAGTTTTTTCCGGCAGCAGGTTGCCATTTCTTTCTGCGGTAGACCAGTTGCCATCCAAGGCTATAAAACAAGGTCTCTCCTTTTATTTACCCATAGCTAGCGTGGGTTGGAGAGAAGAAGAGTATTCATACCCTTCACAACTTTCCCAAAGGTTTTTGGAAGTAAGTGAATACAATGGATTCGACTGGAATTCGAACTCGGCTCTCCGATTCCTCAATCCATGCCGCTATCAAAACGATAACAAAACATATTTGAATTCTGATGAATGATGCGTGGATATATATTAGACTAGAAATAGGACAAGAACAGTCATTTATACTCAGAATGATATCAAAAAGAGAAATACAAATGCAAAAATATATATATATATATATATATATATATATATATATATATATATATATATATATATATATATATGTTTTATAGAGCATGTAAATGGATTTGTAAGGTACGTTACAAAGAACTATTTGAACTACTAGGTAAGTTTGATTTATTTGTGAAAGATATTGGAATAAGCCAGAACTTATAGGTGTTGCATTTTTTTGTGTATCTATATATGTACTAGTGAGTTAGTCAAAATGCCTTGACTCACTTTATAGTCCACCAATCCACCAATAGTTAACCAATCAGAAGACGTAGAATATTCAATCCGTCGTGTATAAAGGCGGCCATTTTTGTTCACTCTACCCGAATGTCCAGTCCAGCTTGTCAGGCAAAGAGAAACAGAAGGACGAACTACGCTCTGCTACTTTTACCAAAATATCCACTGCTAACGTGAACAACGCTTTCCTACTGTCTTCAAGATATTCACTGCTAACCTCTGGATTCTCTACTCAAGACGACCGTCATTATGAACAACAATAGGTGAGACAAATCGCCTGCATATGGATAGAAAATGAATTTAGTAAATATACAAAAATAGGAAGAAACGTAGAACGGAGATGTATCTTTTCACTGGATTTTTTCAACCTCTACAACGAAATGATGCTGAACGAATTAGAAATTATACAAGGATGTATTTCTGGCGGAGAGTATCTTAAAAACATAATGCAGATGACTCATTGCTGACGACAAACACATAAAAGAAACTCCTACAGAAACTTGTAAACGCCAGTGACAAGAACAGACTAAGCATTAAGTTTAAAAATCCAGAATGCATGGTTGCCAGCAAGATTAACTGTCCAAGATGGAAATTATGAATTGGAGACATCAAAATCCAACAATTAAGGAAAGTTAAATATTTAGGGAGTACAGACGTGCCGTTGCCTCCCTCTGTCTTTTTTACAAATACTTTCACGGTAACTGCTCCGATGAGCTGCTTTCGCTGGTTCCAAGACTTCATGAATTTAAGCGTTCAACTAGGATGACATCTCGCTCACACCCTTTTACTGTCGAAACTGTTAAATGTTGCCGTCTCTTCTACTCCAATAGCTTCATGTCTAGCACTTCTCGCCTGTGGAACTCCCTCCCCATTTCTTGTTTTCCTGATAACTAAAATCTCCAACTATTTAAATGTAATGTCAATCGACGTCTCCAGATGCCCTGATCTATCCCCTAACCTTCTCTTCATCCTTTCCTCTATCACTCCTCTTTGCTCTCACTCCAGCTCTCTGTAACCCCCTTGTGTGCTAGTGGCTTCCCGCATTGCTTGGGGTTAAATGCTTAAAAATAAAAGAAAATAAAAAAAATTAATAGATGAGGGAAAATGTGAAACAAAAAGCCGTAGAAGCATCGGAATAGCGAAAGATGCCTTCCAAAATCTAAGCAAAGTATTACGAAAAAGAAACATATTTAGAAACAAAGAAAAGCATTCTGAACTGTTATGCAATATCGGTTCTCTTGTATGGCAGTAAATGCTGGACACTCTCCTCAAAGAAACTTGAAGCAACAGGAATGTTATTCTACAGAAGGATGCTGATAATATTGTGAACTTAAACTCTGAGTAACAACACAGTTTTAAGGAAGATAGAAACGAAAAACGCCGCTTGAATATGAAATAAAAAAGAAACAGTTTTCGAGGGCACATTGAGAAAAGAGAGCTTGGGGAATCTAATACACACAGGGCATATTAAATGGAAGACAGACAAAGAAAAAATGAATTATCAATCTAATGAAAGATTTTTTTTTAAATTGATGCAGAACAGGGATTAAGTGGGATAGCTAAAAGAAAACCTAAGAACTTGAAAGCTATGGAGAGCCATGACCCCCAACTTCCTGGAGGAACACAGTACATAGAAGAATAACATTTTCGCTTACTCTGCCATTGAATTAAATAAGTGGCCTCTTTTCTGGAGGAAATCAATCTATCTATGACAATGACGGCTTATACATGTTCAAGATAGTCACACATATAAAAGTACTCTTTCTATATTTCGAAATAGTCTGCAATATTTTCTTCCGGGATCAGCCTCATCTAATGATTCTTTTTCATAATTTCTGAAATAATCTGAAATCTCTTACTTTTCAATATGGATTTTCTATTTGGGGGAAAAAATAAATGATAGTTATCCAATAATATAGGCAGAATATTTTTCGAATATATCTATTTTTAATTCCCTTAATGTCAGATTCACCCGTTCGTTTGTTGATGACTTTCTAGGGATTCCTATAAAAATCAGAAGAATTGGTAAAGAGTTTCAGTGAGCATTGCCTGTGGAATCATCTCAGAAACCCAACCAAATTTTTCGGACATTTTCTGGAGATGAATGTCTGAGTTTCAAACAAAATTTAATATAAGAGGTTAGGTCATAAAGTATCGGGACTGGTGCTGTAATAAGAAAACTACAATACATATCATTTCCGCATTTAATCTCCTTCTAAGTAGTGGCTTTCTGAAGCCATACACTCTGTCCAGCGTTGTTTCAATTGATGCAAGCATTCCTGAAACTCTGTTTTTTTGGGGGGAAAGGG